CCCCTGCACGGACGCCCCTGAGGACCGGGGCTTTCGCCCCGCAGGACCGAGCAGCAGTAACCCGGGGACGCAGCCGGTAGGCGCCGCCGCGATGCCGCGGGGCTGGGCGCCCTAGCACCGCCCCGCGCAGCGCCGAGCACCGCCCCGCAGCGCGCAGCATGGGCGAGCGGCGGCCGGCGGCGGGGGGGTGCTGAGCCGAGCGCGATTGCCCCGGTCCGGTCCGGTCTGGTCCGGTCGCAGCAGGCGCCCGCCGCATGTCGGGGCCCGGGGCGCAGAGCCGCAGCCGGCGGCTGCCCGGTAAGTGTCGGCGCGCGGTCTGCTCGGCAGGAGGGTAGCGGGGCACCGCACCGGGCGGGCAGGGCTCGGGCTGCCCGTGGCCCCTCGCATCCTCCCCGCAACACCCGCCCCATGCCCCTTGCAAAGCAGCCGGGCCCTCCCTTTCCATCCTGGAGCGCCCCGACCCCACCTGCTCCAACCTGCTGCTTCCCGTCTGCTTCGGACAGGGGCTGCCCGGGAAGCTCCGTGCCTGGGATGGGGATGCTGGGATGGGGAGGCACCTGCGTGGGATCTGAGCTGGGGACCTGTTGGGCAGCGGGCTTGTTGTGGAGTGGCATCGGTACCCCTCTGAGCCCCCCGTGGGGTGTAGGGAAAGAGGAGACTGAGCAAACCCGGCGAGCACGGCGGATGAGGGCAGCCGGGGTAATGGGAGCTCGCATGGGGACAGCCTGCCACGACCCGGGCCCAGCCTTAGCACACCATGCCCTGGGCATCGTGCTGCCCTCCTGGGTTTCTTGTCCTCACGCTTCTTTTTGCAGGAATCAAAGCAGGGCCCCATAATGGCAGGGTCTTGTGACAGCCTCTGCCGCTGGGGAAGGAGCTCTGGGCGCAGGGATATTTTTAGTGCTGAGACTCAGGGGATTTGGAGATGGCTCGGAGGAGTGCAGGCAATGAAATCACGGCACAGATAGGGGTTATGAGGTGCCATGTCCTCCCTCTCTCATTCCCCCCCCTGCTTTTTCCCAGCAAGTACCTCTGCCAAAACCACTGCCTCCTTCGCACTCGCCTGGTGCATTTCCTCTCACGGGGGCTACGGTTATTTTTTGCTGTGCTGCAACACGAGGTCAGATGTGCTGATTGAGAAAAGACCGTGCAGGGAATTAACACTCAGGCAGCCAGCGTGTCTGGGCATCCTGTCTCCACACAGCCTGATCTTGCCTTACTCTTTGGGGCATTCCCAGCTCTCCACACCAGCTGCTTCTCCAAGGGCTAAAGAAGTTCAAAGCCTGTGGGATTTACCTTTGTCCCACAGTGGTTTTGGTGGGACAGGGTGATGGGGAAACGTTTGCGATCTCAGCAGAGTCTCCTGTCTGATGCTGTGGCAGCTGAGGATCTGCATCTTCCTCCTACCCGACCTCCTCTCAGCATTGCACACAGGGACCGGGAGGACAGGATGCAGTCTGGCAGCAGTGGGATGCCCAGCTCTGGAGGAGTGGAGTCAGGGATTCGGGCTCTGGGAAAGCACAGGGAGAAGGACAAAAGCTGGCGGGGCCAGCCTGCCCCAGCTCTTTCATGCACCAGGAAACTGGATTGTGCTTGGAGTGACCCCTCGTTTGAGCTCTGCTCACCTCCCTATCAACCCCTGGAGCTTTCCACAGCCCAGATTATATTTTAGGACCTTCTTTAAATCCCTGCCAGGCTGTGGCCTTAAGAAAAGGGCATCCCCATCCTCTCTTGGCCTTGTGCCGCCACTAGCAAACCCTCTACCACCCCTGAATACACCCCTCCTGTTCACCAGCACGGAGGGGGGTTGTACCGGGATCCCACTGGGCAAGGAGGAATGAAAAACACATCCCCTCCTATCTGAAACACAGCCAGATAGTTGAACTGTGCTCTGCTCCCAGCCTGGATGCTGGGTCACAGACACCCTGAGCTGGTGCTCCCAGCACCCTCAAGCCTTGTCTTGCTTTCACCCCATGCTAACTGCACCCCAGGAATGCTCCTCTCCCAGCCTGCTTCAGCAAGGGTGAAGATGGGAGAGCTCATGGCAGTTTCCTTCACAGCCTTTCCCTGCTGCAGCGGTGGCTGTGAGCCCAAACCATGCGAGGGCAGAGGGACCAGCGGGGCCAGTGTCCTCACCCACAGCCCACCCTGGCAAGGAGGAAATCCCTGTCTGCACCTCCTGGGGGGATCCTGCCCTGCCCGCCCAACCTCTGCACCAGCGCCTGGCCCTGGTTCCTCTCCAAGCTGCGCTGGCTTGTAAGCCGTGAGAGCCGGAAGGATCTGAAGGCAGCGGGGCGCTCCGTGCTGTGGCAGCCGTGCTGGGCGGTTCAGCCAGCGGGGAAGAGCCTGGCCCTGAATGCTGATCAGCCTCAGCTCCTTTGCTGTAGTAATAACCATGACAATAGTAATAAAAGCCAGGCCACCAGCAGGTACCAACAGATCCCCCACAGTGCACAGGGGCCGCATTGTGCGTGTGAACGTGTCCCGCGGTGGGAACATGCCAGCGGGATGAGACAATCCCCACGACTGACAGCCCGGGAGTGTGAGTGGCCGTCACATGGGGAAGAGCCGCGGTAGGGAACGCCACTCTCCTTTATTTCCCCGGCAAGGGCTGCTGAGAGGTGGCTACACTGGCAGGGCTGTTCGCATCCCCCAGGCCCGGAAGAGCCCCGGGAGGGGGGAAGGCTCCATCCCCGACTCTCACCACGGTCACGGGTCAGGCAGGGCCAAGCGCAGCCCAGCTGCTGGCGTTCCTTACATAATGGGATCTCAGTGCTCGTGCCTGTTTCCTCAGCGAGAGCTCAAAAACAAGTTCATAAACAGGTCCTGCTAATTCCTCCTGCAAGAGAAATCCTGGCGCCCACAGGAATGCAGCATTCCTGACTCTCCCCAAGCACACTTACCGTGAGTATCGGTCACGTGCTCTGGAGAGGTGGACAGCAAGAACACTAATGGCACAGCTCAGCCGTGATCATGGCGTTTGGGACAGCACCTGCCAGCATTCAGGTTTATTTTGTTTGCACTGCAAGAGGATTTAGAGCTTCTCCTTCTTACCTCCACAGTGCCATCCCTTTGGCACAATGGTGCACAGTCTGTCACCCTGAACCTGGAGCCAGTGCAGCCTCTGCCCTGAGCCCAGCCTTCCTGGAGCCTGATGAAGTCCCCTCGGTGTGGTGAACTGCTGCAGTTTGCCATGGATTTGGCACAGCTGGGCTGAGAAGCAGAGCTCTGCCTGGCACAGATAGTACAGCTCTGGCTCCAGCTGCTGAAGTGAGCCACCTTCATACCCAGTGCCCTGGTCACCTGCTCCTTGTCCTGGTTCCATTCTCTTGCAGATAGCACAGGGGAGGTAGGAGTTTTTTGCTGTACCCCCGTGGCACTGGGCTCAGCCACCGGTCAGCCTTGTTAGGAAAGCTTCACCGGCACGGTGTGTCCCTCACTGCAGCCATCAGCCTGGGCGCTGCACAGCACACTGAGCCTCTGCACCACAGCAGGCACCCAGTGCTTAGGTCAGACATGCCAAGGCAAAGGCCCCTTCAGGCAGCCCAGATTGCTGCCCTGGGCATCACGGGAAGACGGTGAGCAGCCTGAAGAGGACCAGAGCCTCTTCCAGAAAACACATGGTGACTGGCCCTGAGTCACAGCACATTCCGTGCTGTGCCCCAGGCACAACCTGGCCTCCCAGGGCAGTTGCCTGCAGAGGATGGGGTTTACCTGGAGGATGTCCCAGAAACAGGGTGAGGAGGAGCTTTGGGGAGCGCTCTCAGCAAGATATGACATCGTACTCCAGGACACCTCACCAGGCTCACCACCTCTCTCCCATTTGGGTCCTGTGCTGCTACACACTGGTGACAGGCAGCCTTCCCGCTGTCCTCACCCCACTCCTGCCAGACAGGGTGGGGATGCTGCTCCGGCCTGGAGGAGCAGAGGATTTGGGCCATACTCAGGCAAAGCAGAGGATGTTTGTTTGGTTTCCTTGGTTACTGCACTGCCTGCTCTGCTAATCACATTTTCCTTGTGCCGCTAGGCCAAGAGCGGCAGAGAGGAAACCTGGAATGGCTGAGGTCAAACACCAGCCTGGGAACAGCCAGGACCACCGGCTCTGGACCATTTGGGTACCTTGTGGGTACCCAACCTGAAAGGGAGGTACGATGCCCAGGGATGCAGCAACAGCCCAAAGGCTCCAATCATTCTCTCTGGTGTGAGCTGGGCCACAGGCACCGGCACTGAACTGCAGGAGGAATTACAGGAATGAAAATGTTTGTAGAGGCAGAAGCCAAGCTGGCTGTGCGGGCGGGGATGTGAATAAGGAGCCTGCAAGCGTGGGTGCGGCTGTATTTATAGTGACGGTGGTGGCAGGGGTGCGCGTGTGTGGAGTGACAGGGTTGCTGATGCCTTTTATTCCTTAATACATCCCAGAAAGCCTTGGAGCACTAATGCCAGTTTGTCCCTGGGAGTTTCCTCAGCTTGTTAGCGTTCACAGACTTCCCTCTGTTTTATAGCAAGGAAACTGAAACTTGAACATGTGCAAAACATGGCTGATCTCATAACAACACCCTTTGCCCCCTTGATAACTCACTTCAGCAGTTGTGAACACAGCCTATGAGCTCCCCACTTCTGGCTGCTCTGCATTTCAGAAGTGAGATCTGAGGCTCCAACACAGCAAGTGCTGGCGATGCTGCCAGTCTACCGTGTAACAGCTATTCATGGTGACTAAATCAGTGTGCGCTGGTAAAGCTGAACAGAAGGGACTCACCTACCTTCCATTATGGCCATACCGCATGAGCTGGGCCAGGCAGAAGGGCTTGGACAGCCCTGCCTGATCCAACCCTCCCCACCTTTCTCCCCAGCCAACATGGAGCAGGCACAGCGGGGCCTGGACACTGAGCAGATGCAGCAGCAGCAGCTGAAACTACGGGACCGACAGAAGTTCTTTGAGGAGGTTTTCCAGCACGATGTGGATTTCTTCTTCCCTATGTCTCACCTGCAGATAGAGCATCGGAGACGTAAGTGCTGCAGGCACCAGCATGGGGCTGGGGTGTTTCAGGGAACAGTGACACAGGCAGTTGAGATCGGTGGGACATACCCAGTCTAAAGACAGCTGGCGACACGCATGTCCTGCACTGAGACAGGACCACACAGGCTGCCTGTGGGTGTGCTGTGCATTACTCACACCACTTAACTGAAGTAACTGCACATGGGTACCCAGGCTAGCGCCCTGCATAGTCACTGGCTTCAGACAGGCGCCTCCAGACAGCAGTTTGAGACAGGGACAAGGACTGCAGTGAGACAGGAGGCGATTCCAAAGCAATGTTTTAAGGAAACATGATTTTTCTGGGAGCCCCTTACCAGCAAATAGGATTCAGTTTCCCAGGGCAAGGCTGGCCTCCCTCCTGAGGGTCCTACCTGCACAGGACTCATGGAGCCCTTTGCCTGGCACTAGCACTCACCTTTTTGCTGGCCTCTGTCTCTGCAGCACCCTTAGGCAGCATTTCCTCCATGGAGGTGAACGTGGACATGCTGGAGCAGATGGACATGATGGACCTGTCAGACCAGGACACCATGGATGTGTTTCTGGGCTGTGGGACAGAGGAGAGCAGTGCTGCTGGGCCCCTGCCAGGTATGTGCAGTCCCAAACGTTCTGTGGACCAGGCTGGGAGCCTTTCCAGTGCCCACATCAGCTTGTTCCTCAGCTCTGGCCACCCTGCGTGCAGATACACACACACTCATGCAAAGATACTTGGTGCTGGCATCTGTGAGGCTGGAGGGACCTCAGGCTGGGCTGGTCCATGTCAATATCTGCCTCCACAGCCCAGAGATACAGACCTCCTGTAAATACCTTATGGTGGAGAAGACAGGAGAGCCCAGGCACTCCCCAGAGTTTGTGGGGCAAGTTCTCTTGTCCTGAAGCTCCTCTGGAGCAGCCAATGTCTTGTCATGATTTCCCTGGTCCCCTCCAGACTGCAGAGCTCCCTGCACTGAGCAGAAAGGCTGCAAGACCCCTCCACATCCCAACCAGACCTCAGGGAGCTGGGCTCAGGTCCCGCAGGGTGCAGCATCTTCCTCCACACACGCACAAGTTGAAGTGATTCACCGAGGCTAAGCAGAACGTCTCCTTGCCTGCTGCAGCCAGTGGCTTCACACAGCATGGCTCCAAGCTGTGGTTCACAGGAGATGGAAAAGGCTCCATTGTCAAAAACGGGGAAGGAATGTGCAGCACTACCCAGAGCCAGGCTGGGGGTGTGAGATGGGGAACAGCTACAGCCACCACATGGGGAGCAGCCAGGAAAGCATATCATGCCAGGGAGTAAGACACGTATTGGAGGGGCTCTCCATGAAGTTTAGGGAGCGATAAGCCTCCAGAAGCATTTTTATTTCTCTTACCACACTCTCTTCCAGGGGCAGATGCCAGCCAGTGCCCAGAGGAAATCACCCTGCAAGTGCCCAACGCAGCTGAGAGCAAGTCACGCATTTCTTCTACATCCTCTGTCTCCACGGATCTGAACAGCCTGGACACCAGCGAGGAGGGGGCTGAGACCCCTGTGGTGCAGTCAGATGAGGAGGATCTGCAGGAGGACGGTCCCAAAGAGCAGGCAGCAGCAAGAAGCTAGCAGCCAGCTCTGCCCTGCTCCCAGCTTCCTCACATGGACCTGCCAGCCCAGAGGAAGGAAAGCTGCTGGCACTCAGTAAACCCCTCACTGGACTGCTGCCCTGCAAGAGGGGCGAGATGAGTTTCCCCTCCTCTCCCTCTGCAGGTTCTCCTGGCAGCCAATGGAGAAGGAACAAGGGGTACTGTAGGCTCCCCAAATTAACTGTTCAGGCTTTGCTGCTAACACTCCCTGCTTCACTCCCCTGAAACGCTCAGCAACCCACAGCCCCACCATTCCCAGAAAGCCATCCCTTGGGATCCCAGCTCCCCCTGCCCTACTGACAAAGGTCCTGTCCAGAGAAGCGTTTAACGATGGCATACAGAGAAATAACACTCCAGTCTAAACAACCAGTGGCTGTGTCTGTTCTTGGGAGAAAACAGCACTGGGGGTGAGGGTTAGGTGGGGCTTGTACAAGGGTGAGTGGTGTCAATCCAGCGTGCAAAAGGTGCCATGCAGGAGCATACACAACAGCAGCAGCCACTGCTGCCCCAGCACAGCATCACAGCAGCAGCCCTGGCTGGAGGAATAAAGGAAGAGCCGTCAAATGAAGCCACTTTTTAGCCCACTACAGTTGCTCCCTGCAGGACAGGTCAGGAGGAGCTAGGCACAAAGCTGGCCAGAAACCTGCTGCTGCTATCAGTGGCTGCAGGCCAGGAAAATGCTGTTCCTGCTCTGGCTGTATCAGCACAACCGTGGTCACCCCCTCGAGGAAAAGAGCCTGGGAGATAAGCAAGAGGAGCGAGGGAACACTCTCATCCCGGCTGCTTCCTGGGGGGGGGGGGGTCAGACCTTACTACGCTCCTTCCTGCACAGCCCACCCTCGGTGAGAACGGCTGCAGCACTCCGGTTATCCGGGAACGACCGACGGGAATAAGACGTGAGCTCCATCGGCACAGCCTCGCAGCTGGTGGAAGTGGGGTGCTTCCAGACGGCTCTGTGCCCGGAGATGGGCGCTGCGCTCCTGAACGGAGACCTCAAGGAGCGAGTGAGAGCAGGCAGCGGCGGGGAGGGCTGACACGAGGAGGTCACCCGGGGACGGGCACGGTGGTGGCAGAGCCCTCGTACACGGCAAAGCCTTGCAGCGAACCGCCCGAGCCCGGGCCGCTCTGGAGCTTCCCCTGCGGCTCCCGTTCTGAACGCCGGAGGAGGGAGCACCCGCCGGAACAGCCTCGCTCCTGCGCCGGGAGCAGGCACAGCCGCTCAGGTGGCGCCCTCCCGCCGCTCCGGCTTCGCTCCCCACCACGGGCCGGAGACCGCGAGCTGCGGCCAGGCCCTCCCCGTGCGGGAGGAGACGAGACCGGGCCTGCAGCGCCGCGTCTCCTTGGCAACCCCGGAAGCCGCCGCCATCGAGCCCTACGGCCGGAAGCGGAAGTCGGCGGCGGTGCGGGGCGGAGGGATGCTGGCGCTGGCGGTGCTGCTGCTGGCGGCGGCCGCGGGCCCCGGGCGGGCGGCGGCGGGCCCCGGGCGGGCCGCGCTGCGGGAGGAGCTGCTGCTGAGCCCGCTGCCCGCCGGAGACGTGGCCGCCACCTTCCAGTTCCGCACGCGGTGGGACGCCGACCTGCCGCGGGGCGCGGGTAGGGCGGGGCCCGGGGGCGGAGCCGTTGAGCGAGGTGACGGTGTGCATCGGGGTGGTGACGTCACCGCGTTAGGGGATGACGTCAGCGGGGCGAGTGACGTCGGAGGCGGGGTGAGGTTGCGGGGTGCTGAGGCGAGCGGGGCAGGGCGAGGCGGTGGCGGGGAGCTGAGGGCTGCGGTGACATCACGAGTGACGTCACCGCGGTGATGCCATCGGGCTGCTCGTGATGACGCGAGCAGGGGGTGGCACTAGGGGTGACATCATGTTCCTGGTGTGACGTCATGGGGGGGATGAGGTGACCCTGCCCATGGATGATCAGCATCCGTTCCAACCCCAGCTGTGCTATGAGCTGGGCAGGGGCTGATGCCGGCTGCAGTCTCTCACTACAGGCTCTTCCCGAAGGCGCTGGGGCAGCTGGTGGCGGCGCTGGGCGTGCGGGAGCTCCACCTCGCCCTCACCCAGGGCTTCTGGCGCACCCAGGCCTGGGGGCAGCCGCCCCTCCAGGCACCCGCCGGTGCCGAGCTCTGGGTCTGGTTCCAGCCCACCGTCACTGAGTAGGTATCCCAGCCACAGATCTGTCCCGCCGGGTGCTCTCTGCAGCCACCGCTCTGGGGAGGCGCCCCCCTCTCATGTCAGACAGGCAGGGTGTGTGCTGGGGGGCTCCTGAGTTGCAAAATGTCTGCTGGAATAAAGAGCCTATGAGCAGCTGTAACAGAAAGCAGAATATAGCCCCCAGCTGAGTGCATGGGGCAGGGTGTGGTGCTGAGGGCAAACCCTTGTTCACTAAAGGAACAAATAAGTCCCTTATGGGCTCTGTGATGACAAACCTCTTGTTCTGTTAATATGACGGGGTTATATCTTGACCTCTCATTAGTGACTCACTTCCTTTGACTGCCATCCTGTGCCTGTCACCATCTCCCTTATCACTCACACCCTCTTTCAGCCCCAGCAGCTCTGTGTACTCAGAGCTCTCTTCTGCCTACAAATAGCCTGTTCTGGATCTGCTGGTTATGTCAGCCTTCAGAGCTGCACCAAGGTGTCACTTGACAGCAGCCCCTTCCCCATACACCATATATCACCTCCCGCATGCGCCCTGCTCCCCCAGCCTCTCACCCCATGTACCAGCTGCACCCACTACCATGTCCCTGCCTGAAGCCCTGCCAGTGGCTGCCCCTGTCCCCCAGATCTCATGCATTAGAATAAAATACCTAGAGAGCCAGAAAGTACATGACCTGCAGCCTCTACCTGCATGCTCCTTGCAGCTTCTGAAAACCACAGTGAGCTCCCTGGTGTATTTATTGAATGTTGCTAACTTCATGCTTATTTTTCCAAGGATTTGAGCTGCTGAGTAATCTCTGGTATCTGTTCTCACACAGTGTTGACAAAGCCTGGAAAGAGCTAAGTAACATCCTCTCAGGAATATTCTGTGCTTCTCTCAACTTCATTGATGCAACCAACACAGTCACTCCAACAGCATCCTTCAAACCTCTGGGCTTAGCCAATGGTGAGCCGGGCATTGCCCTCTCACTCTTGCTTCTAGCTTTAGTACTGCCCTGTGCCATTGCAGGGAGTCCAGCCACAGGTCCTGCAATAGGTCTGGGTCTGTACAACAGGGTCTGTTAACCTCTTCCTGGAAGCATTTCCTCTCCCTACAAGAGAGGCTTGGATTTGAGGAGGAATCCCACAAGCAGTACGTGGCTGAAGCTCCCAGGCCCTTGTCTGTATCTGAAGAATACTTTATGAAACAGGACTAGAGGATTTAAGGACTCATGAAGAAAAAAATCTGCTAGAATGTGCCCTTCCCTGTTCTTTCCAAATCACTCTGAACACAGTGGGATCTATTCCTGATTGAGCTCATGGCATTTCAGGCACATTGAGAGGGTGGTGGGCTGTGAGGTCCACTGGGGGTGGAAGAGGCCCTGCATCTGTTCTCATGCCTGTAGCAGTACCAGCATGTTGACTCTTCACCTCCCTGCCCAGGGACAGATCACGATCTCCTGCGATACGCTGTCCTGCCCCGGGAGGTCGTCTGCACTGAGAACCTCACGCCTTGGAAGAAGCTGCTCCCGTGCGGCTCAAAGGTAACAGCAAGTCCTGCTGCCTCATTGGGCCACTCCTGATGGCTCTGGGTTCCTTCCAGTGATCCAGGAGTGTGCAGTGGGAAGTTTCAGCAGGGCTTTTCTGTCAGTGGAGGGAGAGGACAGACCTAGGCTGAGTTTCACCTTCCCTCCGTGCAGGCTGGGCTTGCTGTGCTGCTGAAGGCAGAGCGCTTGTTCCACAGCAGCTACCACTCGCAGGCAGTGCACATCCGCCCCATCTGCAGGGTAAGCACAAGGCTCAGGACTCCCTCCTTTAACACCGCCAAGAGAAAATGCAAAGCCTTCTTGTGGCACTGCAAGGTGACACGCTGGTTTGCCCAACTCCCCTGTGGTGTGTTCAGCACTGTGTCTAACACAACTGTTGTCCTGCTTCCCTGGTCTTACTTACGTTCCGATGGGATTCTTGCATTCCTGGTGGAGTTCCAGCTCCATCCTGGTTTCCTGCCCCTTTGGAAGGTGTGATCAGTCACCTATCTCTCTCTTGTCTAGGATGCCTCCTGCTTGGCTGTGTCCTGGGAGCTCAGGCAGACCCTCACTGTGGTTTTTGACACCTTTTCTAGTGGCCAAGGAAAGAAAGGTAAGCTTGGCAGCTCTGTGCTGTGCTCCCCTAGTGCCCCAGCCTGAAGCACATCACTCTGCCTGCCACTAACTTGGCTTCCTGCAGACTGGTCCCTCTTCAAGATGTTCTCCCGCACACTTACTGATGCATGTCCTCTGGCATCGCAGAGCAAAGTCTACGTTGACATCTCCCCGAAGAACAAGGTAATGCATACAGACTAGAGAACACCCCCTGCTTCCTCAGATCAGCCACTTTGTGTGGCTCAAACATCCTCCACCCAGCATGGTGGGACCCCCCAGAAGCCCTTCAGGGGAGTTCCCTCAGGGCAGTGGGGATGAATGGGGGGGGGTATTGTAAGACCACTTGAGCTGGCTGTTGGGTGGGGAAGCTCAGGGCGGGATGGAGTGGCCTTGCTCCAGTGCTGCCAGTTCCTTCAAGGGGCACTTTTCCTTTAATGGTCCATTTGTTTTCAAAGGAAAAGGAGTTACTGGAAGTAACCCCTGCTCCAACATCTGTATATGAAGCTACTGTCCAGGGAGACAAGAAGACCTATGCCGTCTATGACCTACTGAGCCCCTCACTCTTTAATACCTCTCACAGCCTCAATGTGCAGTTCAAATGGAAGCGTCCTGAAGACAGCTGTGAGTGACCATAACTTCCCTCCACCTGCATCACTGGCCAGGGCTTTAGGCCTAAAGCTCACCTGGCATGGTTCCCCTTTTCTCCTTCGCAGCGGAAATGCCGATACCCGTACTCCATGCTCAGCGCTACGTGAGCGGGTACGGGCTGCAGACCGGAGAGATCAGCACCCTCATCTATAACACCCACCCGTACCGGGCCTTCCCCGTAATCCTGCTGGAGACTGTGCCCTGGTATCTGCGACTCTATGTGCACACTCTGACCATCATCACAAAGGGGAAGGAAAACAAGCCAAGTAAGTAAACCCTCCCAGGAGCCCATGCCACCCAACTGATTCCCTTGGCACAAGTGGCTCATTCCAGAGGTGGTTTAGTCCCTCCCTTGGGCCTCAGTGATCACTGGGAAACAAAACATCATAGGATGTTTTCCTAACCTTCCCTTCAGCCCTCACAGCAGATGAGACTTTATTAAGTCTGTTTTATAAAAGGCTCATGGATTGCATTTCATAATCCAGTAACAGGCTAAACAAAAGTGAATTGATTTTTGTAGTAAAGGAAATTCAAAACTGATGACTGGGTCTTATTTTGCATTTGTACCTTTCCTTAGACTTACATGGGTCATCAGATTTATAGCTGTAACACATGTTTTTTGAGCTGTTCATGTTCACTTGCCCAGGAAACCTTTCCCAGAACAGTGGAAGCAGGAGCTCCCACCCCATGGGAGATGTCCAGGCACTGCGAAATGGAACAAGGTCTCCCTGGTGCCACTGACACCTCTCTTTGGGGTTAGGTTACATCCACTACCAGCCAGCTCAGGACCGTCAACGGCCTCACCTTTTGGAAATGCTGATCCAGCTGCCAGCCAACTCCGTTACCAAGATCTCAATCCAGTTTGAGAGAGCCTTACTGAAGTGGACAGAGTACCCGCCAGATCCCAATCACGGCTTTTACGTCAGGTAACGCATACCTCGGCTCCTTGTCCCCTTCTGGGCCTATGTAGGACTTGCTGTCCAGGTCTCTGGGGACAGGGAAAAATTCTTGCCATCTCTTTGCTGACAGCACTGACACTAACATGTCCTCTGTCTCCTTAGTTCATCTGTCCTTAGTGCCCTAGTGCCCAGCATCATTGCTATGAAGGACATGGATGTGGAGGAGAGCCCACTCTTCACCTCACTGTGAGTGTACCTGTGCTGAGGAGCAGGGCTGTACCTCAGCACCGGCGAGCTGCTGGCTGCTGTCATCCCAACTGGTGAGCACGAAGCAGAAGTCCTGTGTGGGCTGACTCTCCCTTTCCTGCTTCCACTCTCCAGGTTTCCTTCCTCTGATGGGTCCAGCTATTTTGTGCGCCTGTACACAGAGCCACTGCTGGTGAACTTGCCAACGCCAGACTTCAGCATGCCCTATAATGTCATTTGCCTGACCTGCACCGTGGTGGCAGTGTGCTACGGCTCCTTCTACAACCTGCTGACCAGAACATTTCATGTGGAAGAGCCGAGCCGGGGCGGGCTGGCCAAGCGGCTGGCCAACGTCATCCGCAAGTTTAGGGGGGTGCCCCCTCTCTGAGAGAAACCACAGCAGCTCCATGGAGAGGTCCAAGGAGCAGAGCACTGTTGGCCCCTTGTCTTTGTTGGCCCCTTGTCTTTGTTGGCCCCTTGTCTTTGATTGAAGCAGTCTGCTCCATTCTTCTGCCTGGATATCTCGTCGGGATCCAACAAGCTGAGAGATTGGTTCCATCGTGAAGATGGGAAATGACTCTAAGCCCATTGACTACTGAACTGCACTGCTATGGGATTGGGAAAGGTGTAGGACTTCTGTTTGGGAGAGGGGTAATTTATATGCTGGGAACAATGCTAAAATTAAACTTGACCAGTTTTGTACATTTGTGCTGCTCCTGGTTGTTTTTACCTTCTCAGCCCCATGTGCAGATTTGACCCTGTAAGACTGTGAGCCACTAAGTCTCCAGCATGCTACGCGAGCCAGCTGGGAGGAGATGCAGACACGGGAAGGGATGTGACTGCAGCAGAGATGGGTTCATCTATCCTACCACCTCACCTGCAAAACTGCCACGTTTCACAGCTCCCTCGTTCCATGCTTCACCACATTTGAGCCAGTCTGCAAATTAATTGTTGGCCATGGTGTATGTCTCTCCCCTCTTTCTCAGGAAAAAGCTTCTCTAGCAGTGTTTTGAAACCCCTCCATCTGCTCAGCCCTCTGCAGCACAGGATCCTCCTCTGCCGCCTTGGTATCGTTTCTGCATATCTGCCCAATGGCTCCTCTGCACCCACAGTATCCCCAAAGCTTCTGAGAGCCTCTGGGCTCAGAAAAGCCCAAATGCTGAGCTGCAGCCAGACAACTTACTTGGTAGGGACACACAGCTCCCTACAAGCAGCTAAACAATGCACAAGGAGCCCATTAGAATAAATATTACTCGGAATCACAGCAAAGCACAGCCAGAGGTCCTTTAAAAGCTTCCACTTGAACAGAAAGACCATAAAACTCCCACTGCTTGCTGTCCTGCATAGAACAGTCTGTTCCCACTGTCCTGGGTTTACCTTTCCCTTCCCTGCTGAAGATGCCTTCTCTGCAGCTCCTTATGGACCCACTCCACTGGATGGCTCCCTGCAGCCTGCAGAGCTGTCAAAACATGAAATACGTGAGTTTGGGAGGATCCCTCTGTCCCTGCTTGCTATGAAAGATGCCACAGGCCTGGGAGCTCACGCTGGTTGCAGCCCCAGGACTGCTGCTGCGGCTCCACCAGCCAGGCTTCAAGTGCAAAACGGAACTTCTTTATATAGAAACTAGAACTAAAACCAAACAAACACCAAGCGAGCGTGCAGCTCCTGCAGCAGCAGAGGGAAAAGCAGCCAGGAATCTCGGCCCACACTGCAGTTTGCAAAGAGAGTTAAAGACCTTAATTTGTTTCAGGTTGGGTCCAGTATAAATCATGCAGACTGCAACCATCAGCACGGAGCAGCCAAGGTCCCACTAGCCTGGCTCCCCAAGCATTAGGTGGGATCTGGCAAAGTGCCCCAAGCACTGGGGCCAGTGCCCATGGGCACAGCTGGCACCACAAGCCAAACCAGACAAAAATAGCACAAGAAACACAGCACTGCTGCAGGAAACAGTGTCCCTAAGCTGAGGAGGAGGAAGCAGCCTGTGCCAGGGCCAGCTGGGAGCTGCCATAGAGGTGGCATCAGCCAAAGGGTTTGGGGCCGTCCATGTGCAGTGCCATAAACCAGGAATTTAAACAGCCTGTAAGGAGCTCAGCTCAAATTAACAGCAGGGCAGGAGGGAAACCATCCAGGTGGGATTCCTGCCTGTTGGACCATTGAGGGAGTTGGTCTTATCACACCCATCAAACATAGGGGCCAGCCAAGCAGAAAGCCCTATGGGACATGCAGGTGGCTCTGTAACCATGGCTGGGTGGGTTTAAACAGCTGGGAAAAACCCAAATCTTAGTGTTTGGGTTTGTTTTTTTTTTCACGGACTATTTCGCTCCTTCCCCTGCATGGCCCCCTTGGGTCAAACTGTGCCTGGTAACCTGCTGCTGGGTGTCTGCAAAGGGAAGGGCTGGAGCTGGAACACTCACAGCAGCCCAGGCTTTGCTGCCAGCACAGCAATACTCAGCCAGTGTCACAAACAGAAGAGTTTAAGGGAGCTGTGTCTGCTCTATACCTCTTTGAGACATAGCTTAGGAAGGGTGCAGGTGCCCACTCTACTGCAGCACCGAAAACTGGGGCCCCTCGGGGCTGGATGGGACTAAATCAGCAACTGCCATGCACAACAAGAAAGCAGCATGTAAGCAAACCTAAGAATAGTATGTGATGCAATGCAGGGAAGCAAGGACTTGGCGTGGCACACAGTGCAAACACTGTGAGCATGTGGACAGCGTGCAGTGGTGTGTAAGGACACGTGCCAACCGCACACAAAAAAAAAGCCTGCAACCACCATGCAGCCACATACAAGAGAGCACACCCAAAGCAGGCCAACCATCTGAGAAACATGTGAGCTGCCTGCAGACATGCAGTGCCCTTCCATATGCAAGAAAGCAGGCGAACAGTGCATAAAGCAGCACGCAAACAGTGTGTAAAACTCCATGTGCACAGTGTGCCATGCAGCCAACGTGCCAGAGCCACGCTGTGCCATGCAGCTGCAGCAAACCCTGTGTGAGAGAGCGTGCAAATGATGCTTTAAATTTAAAAGGGGAAAGAAATGGATAAATACAGATATTTTCTGTGAGGGTGCTGAGGCGCTGGCACAGGGTGCCCAGAGAAGCTGTGGCTGCCCCATCCCTGGCAGTGTTCAAGGCCAGGTTGGACACAGGGGCTTGGAGCCACCTGCTCTAGTGGAAGGTGTCCCTGGCCGTTGCAGCATGGTGCCTGTGGAACTGGATGAGCATTAAGGTCTCTTCCAACTCAAACCATGCCATGGTTCTGTAACTGTTTATAAAAGGAAGGAAACTGGAGAGGCCACACCATGAATCCTGTGCTCAGTTCTGGGCCCCTCGCTACAAGACAAGGCATTGAAGTGCTGGAGCGGGTCCCTGGAAGCGCTCACACCAGCTGCAGCCGAGGCCCTCCGTGCCGTGGGTTAGCGATGGCCGTGGGTTAGCGGTGGCCGTGGGTTAGCGATGGCCATGGGTTAGCAATGGCCGTGGGTTAGCGATGGCCCCGGGTTAGCGATGGCCATGGGTTAGCAATGGCCGTGGGTTAGCGATGGCCCCGGGTTAGCGATGGCCGTGGGTTAGCGGTGGCCGTGGGTTAGCGGTGGCCCTGGGTTAGCGGTGGCCGTGGGTTAGCGGTGGCCGTGGGTTAGCGGTGGCCGTGGGTTAGCGATGGCCGTGGGTTAGCGGTGGCCCTGGCAGCCCTGGGCCGCGCATGGACCCCCCGCTCCCCAAGCTCCTTCCCCACCACGCCGGCTCCATGGGACACAGGCCCCGCCGCTCGCGGCACGCCCGGCCCGCGCAAGCGCAATGCCCCCGCTCCTCACTCCGCGCACGCGCACTGCGCGCCCTGCGGGGCTTCCAACGGCGCCGCCTGACGGACGGGCGCGTCCCCGGGGCCGGAGCTCGGTCCCTCGGCGGAGCGGGGGCAGCTGCGGCCGGGGCCCGGTGGACGGCGGCTCCCTGCCGGGGCGCCAGGGCGGCCTCTCCCATCCCGTCCCGTCCCTTCCCTCCTCAGGGCGCGGCGCGGAAGGGTCCGCGGAGGAGGCGGCCCCGGGATGGCGGCGTGAGGCGGCGGCGCCGCGCCGTGAGTACGGGCCGCAGGGGGCGGAGGGGAGCGGGCCGAGGGCTTGTGGGGGTGTGCCGGGGCCCGGCTTACCTCCGGAGCGGCGGCGGGGGGGAGAGGAGCCCCCATGAGGGGGATCCGCGTCCCTGCGGGCCTCGGTGCCGGCGGAGGTGTGCCGGGCCCGCGGGAGCAGTTGGGTAAGTTTGGGGGCCGGGAGGCAGCCCTTGGCGGGTGCCGGTGCGGGGAGAGCCGCGCTCCCGTAGCAGAGCCGGCTCCAGCCCCGCGAGCACGCTGAGGTTATCGCCAGCCTCACATGGGAGCACGGCCGCGGCGTGTGCCCCCCGCCACGGGCTCCTCTTCCCCCCTCTACACCTCTGCTCTTGTCGGCACCTTCCAACAGCAGGCCCAGGCCCATTTCCTCCCAGAGCAGCACAACTCCCTGACATCCTTCCACCCAGCAGCGCGCTGCTGTGCCCGGCCGGGTACCTTCCCCCGTGGATGCTTTCATCCGGTTGCGGAGCAAGCGTACAACCCCTTTTGTTGTACAAGCATTGCTTATTACATCCCAAACGGGCAAGAGAATATCAGAACAAAGCTCTTAGATGCAACCCACAGCACACCAATCTCTCCTATACTTCATTTCCCCTGTATTCAAACATTGCAGTTGATCTTGAAAATACTGTGGTAGCAGAGTACCCTTTGCCTTTTAACTGCCCAAAACCTCCTGCCAATGCTGTATTTTTGCCTTTCTTTACCCAAGATGCAGAAAACTGGCCTTTATGAGACTGTATTCAGACTTCTGAAGCCCATTGAAGGCACAGAGAAGAGATCCAAATTGAAACTCATTTTTTCAGGGAACTTGGAATAGGCCTGGAGTTGGTTATCTTTGGCAGTTAAATAAAGGCAGAGGGTGGGAATGAGGACCCCTGAGAATTAGTAAATCAGTACAAATGAAGGTAGTGATACTTCAGATGACAACTGTTGATGCTGACATCTCTTCCCCACCACAGAGCTGGCTGACTTCAGGTTTTGTTCCTGTGATTTGCTGTGCAGAGGAATACGAATCATACCCTGCCCTCCTGCTCACAGGTGGGGTTTATTCACCCCAGTGCTGGCAGGGCACTGCAGTCCTGGCGGAGCAGGCACTGCACTACCTCTGGACACATCAATCCCCAGTCAGTAATGAAGCTCAGAGAGCAGCTGTGGAAGCAGTGAAGACAGTGGCTTAGCAGAGCCTCTGCTTTTCATGAAACAAGTTGCTTTGGCTTGCCTCTAGCTTGAGAAATCAGAACACTTCATAACCCCAAGGCTTGGTTAGTCAAGGATTTGCCGCTCTTTTGGACACTGTCTGCAATTGTATTGCACCATTTCTGAGCCTACATCAAGTGTTCAA